GGATCATGGCAGGAAACGGGAGATAGTTTTTTATATTCATTTGCGAGTAAAAGATCGAGAAATGGGAAACTTGCTCGTGTAAATAATAATTCTTATGCTGTTTCATATGTTACTAAACATGGGCCGAGTTTTGGATGTGGATGGGATTTAGCCATTGAAAATGATCATATTAGTTATTATAAGACATCTAGTTATCCCGGGAATAACTTCTTATCATCAAATAATCGTAATTTAGAAGACTACGAAGTTTTTCAAGTTATTAAAAAGTGAATTTATTTATACTTTTTTTTACTTGATCGAAAATAAATAAATTACCGTTATCGTTGCACAGTTAAATATATCTGGCGATAAAATCATTAAATTTTTGAAAATGATGGTTTAGAAACATCGCTATTTGTAATTTATTATGATATTTATGAGTTTTATAAACAGATGAGTTCTGGGTATATAAAGAGTAATAATATTAGGATTTCAGAGATGTAGAAGTATCCGGTCAAGCTTTTTTTTTTTGATTGGATAGCATAAAATTTTTTTAAATAAAAGCCCCTGGATCTTACAATTAACTGTATTTATTTATACATCAACATAAACAAGATCGATTGTATAATGTTTATTTTTTTTTTGTTATTCCATTTGAAACATATTTTAAAGTAGAAAAATTTGCGACTTAAAGTGTGTTTAAACATAGACCAATTATTAACATTTAGAATAGAGGAAGGACTCATGTTCAAAAACAAAGTTACAGATGCAATTTCAATTTATCTATACAAACATTTTAATATTGGATCAATGACAGAACTGGAAGACTAATTGAAAGCATTTAACGTCAAGTTGAAAGTACGCATTATAAATGACCAACTAAATATTTATTTAATTGATCGATTAGTGTATTTGAGAAGTTTTCTAGGAATTAATTACAGTAAGATCATATTGTATTTTAATCTAATAACATCTAAAACTACAATGCAATAAAAATCGAAATTTTGTCAAAAATTTTCAGAACCTTATTTTTCTAGCAAAATTCCCACTTAGTGACAATTTGTTTTAGAATAAGAATTATGCGAGAGAACTGGTACCCGGTAGTTTTTAAAATTTAGGAATGATAGATGGTAACACAGGTAAGTTCAATTTTCCCACAGCACGTGCCATCTCAGTTGAAGTTCACCGCTAAATTCTAACGTTATAGAACTTTCATTGGATTATGGCTTCGTTGGAAATTCTATATCAACAAAAAGCTCACGAAAAATGGAATAACCGAATAACAAGAGGTGATTCACAAATCTGGAGATGTGAAACATATAGAGAATGATAGGTGAACATAGTGTGCTCGAACCGCAATAAATAGTTTTGCGACGGACAGATCAATGCTTTGAAATTAACTAGGCGTAAGACAAGCTGTGCAGCATTCACTTGAAAGAGGGATGTGGAGGTTATTCATCACTTTAAACGGAAATATCGTTTTGGGTGGATGTAACCTCCTTATAATGGTAGTATTAAATTTACTGATAAAAATCTTACCGTTTAAAATACATTTACGGAATATTTATTCGATCCTATACTTCACTTGGACTTTGATTAATAGCAACAATTGATTATAAAACGCGTAGATGCTGCGCCACGCATCAAATTAAATATACTGCATCAGCGAACATCAAAATATGCAACATCAATTTGATTTTATGTATATCTGTCGAAGGGCTAATTCTCCGACATAAACCGGTTTCCATCTTATTTATCCATTATAGGACTATTGATATACTTAAACAATTGATAGAATTGTAAATTATTTCAAACACTTCAAGGAAATCATGCGGAATGTCCGTATGCACGCCTTTAAAAAAAAAAAGGAAAAAAAAAAATAAGGAAAAAAAAGATCTGATAATTATATATATTTGTAAAAAGGAATTGCGTATATAAATGAACGAGTATCAATTTTTCATTCATAATCTTAAATAATAATAATAATAATAATAATAATAATAAATATGTTTACCGATTCAAATTTTTTAACAGAATTATCCAAAGACTTTGCAAAACTTTTAGTAAATGGCGACGGTCATGATGTTATTATTGAGGCTGGAGAAGGACAAAAGATAAAAGAATTTCGTGCACATTCTCTTATATTGGGAGCAAGGTCAACATATTTTCGAGCCGCTCTATCAAAAGATTGGGCTCGCAAAGAAGATGGTGTAATCATCTTTAGGAAACCAAATATTACTTCGAATGTTTTCGAGGTGTTATTAAAGTAAGTAACTTTAATGCACATTTTTTTTTCTTTGAAAGAAAATAAATTTAAAAGCAAATTTTTTTATTTTTTTCTAAAAAAAAAAAAAAAAGGTATTTGTATACGGGCATAATTGATTTAGATATACTACAAGGGTCGGATTTACTTCGGATTTTGGTAGCAGCCGACGAATTAGATCTTCAAAAATTAAACATATATATTCAAACATATATGATCGGAAAACAATCAGAATACGTACAAGAGAATGCTATCAAAGTACTTCAGACGGTATTTCAACATGAGATATGTACAGTTCTTAAAGATTTTTGTGTAGATGTGGTTTGTAAAGAACCAAAATTATTATTCGAAGGTTCGAATTTTGATTCTTTGGATAAATCAATCTTTCAAATCGTTCTTCAACAAGATGATCTCGCAATGCAAGAATTAGAAATTTGGAATTATTTAATTAAATGGGGTGTCACTCGAATGGAAAATAATTTAGATATCGAAAAAGTTTCTCAGTGGACTTCAGAAGATTTCGAAGAATTAGAAAAAATTCTTCATGATTTTATTCCTTGCATACGATGGTTTCACATTCCACCCAAAGATTTTTGGCGCAAGATTAAACCATTCAAAAAACTTTTACCCGAACAACTTTATGAGGATATCATTGGACAAAATCTTGATCCCGAAACACCTCCGAATACTAATAACATTTCACCTATGCGTTGTCCACCAATTGAATCTTGTCTTATTGAAGAAAAACATCTCGCGCTTATCTCAAGTTGGATTGACAAAAAACCAAGGAACTTTTATAGTTTTAAAACAAAACCTTATAATTTTGAACTTCTATATCGTGCTAGTAGGGAAGATTTTGATATTCAAAAATTTCATCAATTGTGTGATAATAAAGGTCCAACGCTGATGATTTCTAAAATTAAATACCATAACAAACTCATTTGTGGTTATAACCCTTTGAACTTAACACCTTATGGTAGTGGAAGTGATACTTGGGGGGAAGCTTCCGAATCTTTCATATCTTCATTTCCAATCTTGGATTCTATTCATTCGGCTCAAATATCTAGGGCTAAAGATCCTCAATACTCTATTTCATATAGAACAAATCATGGTCCAAGTTTTGGTGCCGGTTGGGATTTAACCATTGAGGGTAAAGTAATACGTTGTAGTTTAATTAGTTCTTATCCCGGAATTTCTGATTTTATTACGGCGGGTACTACACTCCACTTGGACGATTATGAAGTTTTTGGTGTGGTTAGAAAAGGCACTTAATAATTAACATTTTTCTTTTCCTTTTTTTTTTTTCTTTTTACATATATATATCGAGAGTTTTTAGAAATTTTGTATTTTCATTAATTTTGTATTTTTATTTTAAATAAAGTTCTTTAGCTTGTCTTATTCAAATTAGAAGAAATAGCAAACGTGCAGTAAATATTTAGGACACACCCTTTTTCACATATTACAACACTATTCAACCTTATCAGTAATGTTTTCTTTAATTATTCATTCATCCGATAATTCTTAAAAATAAAATAATTTCTTTACTACGAAGTGAAATGTTTTACACAACTGAATTAACTTATATTATATATACTTTTTCTTGTGAATTCAAGAGATGATTCATTTACAATCGTCATTTTGATGTTCAGATCATTTTTCTAGAGTAAGCCATTTAGATTCTTTAAAAGCAATTGTGTGAAGTTAGGTTTCTTTTTATAAATACACTTATTAGTTTTTTTGACCTATATTAATTCACAAATAAGACTTTTTTCATCTTATAATTGAAAACGATCTAAAAGCACTTGGATTTATCGAACAGAAGACCCCAAAGAAAGACGATTTTAAGGAAGATCCTCTTATTTCAGAAATCTGACCAACAATTCCTGAAAATAAACATTTTATTACAGAAAAAATTAACAAAATAAAAAAAAACAAATAAAGGGAGGAAAGTGTCAAATAAATGTTTTTCAAATTGTATTTTGCTATTTTATGTGTATAAAATTCGGATCATGTGATTTGACGCTAAAATTTAAGCAGCCACAGCATCACCCAGAAAAAAATGGTAGCCGGATTTATTTGCCGGGTCACATAACTTATTAGGGTGACATATAATGGTGACGATTAGCATTTTTCTCTCAAAATAATTTCTAAGTCCATAATACTTAGTAAATTGAAGAACGGCTGGGATGTGACGCGATGTGACAAATTTTCTAACCCCCTTAAACTAATCCTAATTCTACCCTAATCCTAATCCTAATCCAAACCCTAACTCCAATACTAACCCTAATAATAAATACCCGGAAAATAAAATCCGGCTACCATTTCTTCTGGGTGATGCTGTGGTTGTCCTAAAATTTATCTACCCAGTATCGCCTAGTGTTGGATTATGACCTTCGATGATCTTTATGACTTATATGACCAATGACTAGTCATTAGTCATTAATTGAAAACTATATGACTTTATGACCAAAATCATGTGATTATAATAATAACCAATCAAAATATAATATAAATAATTAATTTATTTCTAATAAAATTTCTTTATATAAATTTATATAAATTACTTTATTACAATCTAAACTTTATTAGTTTAAAAAAATCAGATTACAGAAAAATATTAAAATCTGTTTTCAAATATGCTAGTTCATCTAAGTTAGTAATAAACAAAGATTCTAATTTCCACTTTGCTTGTAAATCATCAGCTGGATGAATTTGTCTTTCTTCTACTCTAAAATCTATATCCCATTCTCTATTAAAAAAAATTTCATCATCACTATTATCAACTTGATTTTTTTTTTAAATTATATTAATTTATTCATATATTAAATTGTTCTATTGTAATTCATGTTCTTCAATAGGTTCTACTATTTCATTATTATTTTTTTTCTCATTAAAATCATCTTCATCTTGAATGTTGATTTCTTCTGAATCATTTATTCTTCAATCATCATCAATTATATTTTGAATATCAGATTCTTCAGTTTCAGTTTTGTTATCATTTAATATAATTGGAGTAGCAATATGAAGATGTTTTATTTGCTGATTTGTTTCACATAATTGACAATTATACATTATATCACCATGAATTTGACTCATTGCCAATACTTTTTTATGCTAAAAATAAAAATTAAATTAAATTTATATTATATTTTAAAAAAATAAATAAATTAATATAATAATAAAAATACCTGTAATCTATTACGTTTATCAGTATGAAAAATCTCATACTTGATCATAATCTTTCTACAGAAGCAGAGTTAACGCAAATACCATATATATGAATAGCAACTTGTGCTAATTTTAGTCCAATTCCTATAGTTGATTCTCAAAAATCCACCAAATTATTTTTAAATTGTAAAAAAGAATTATGATTATATGAGTCTTCACCTCATTTGTATTTTATTAATTCTGCTAAAATTGAGACTGTAGGTGTATTAAACCATGCTTGATAATAATATTTAAGCCATTGACCAATATGTATTCAGGTTAGATTATTTGTTGTATTTTGAAATTTTGTTAATTTATAATCTAGATGTAAAATAAAAGCTAATAGAAGTAAAGGTTGTTCCTATTTATGCTAACGAGTTTCTATTCTTTCACGTATTTTTACACTAAAATCAAAATCTGGATGAATAGTAAATATTTTTATTGTATATGCAAAACAATATAAAACTTCATAAAGTTTAGCTGTATCTTTTTGAAGTTTATTAAGAAATCTGTATAATGAAAATAGAAGATTTTGTAAAGCAAAAATATTAGTCCAAAATTTAAAATCATTAATAATATCTGCTATATCATCTGAAAGTTTTTTTTCGCTATTTTTATGCTCTAATTGTTTATTTGCTAGAATATTTAGTTGTTCATTAGTTCAAAATTTATTAACGCGATGTGAATTGAATTTAGTAGATAAAATCTAATAAAAAAAAAATTTAATTTAATAATTTAATTATATAATAAATCATAATAAAAATAATTTAAATACCTTTAAAGTAGCTTAAGACTTGCAAATAGAATAAAAACAAAAGTAATAACTATTCTATCTAGTATCTTCAGGAGATATTAAAGAAATAGTTTTTTTGTAAATATTCCTTTGTTCAATGTAAATGTCCCATAAAATAAGTTGATTTATGAAAAAATGAAACTATTCTAATTGCTTCAATTGATACCTACTTATAAAGCTCACTTTCCTTAAATATTTTACTAAAAATCAAATTCATTTGATGTACTATACATGGCAAAAATACTTTAGATAGATATTTTCAACGTAATTGATGCCTATATAAAAAAAAATTCAATTAAATAAATATTAATTAACTAAAATTAACAAAATTAAATATAATACATACCTAGCAGCTGCATATTCGCCAGCCGAGTCTAAAATAAAAGCTTTAATATTTACTCCTTTTTCTTGTACTTCAACCATTAATGATTCAATATGACGTATAGCAACTTTTGTTCATGATCTTTATGATGATATTTCTTATGCCTTCCAAACAAGTGGTTGTCCTTATGATGTAATAAGTACAATACCCCAGATATGTTCTTGTTTAACATTTGTCCAACTATCGAAGGCAGCAATCACACCACCTTTATTATTTTATACAATTTTTAATATATCTTTTTGTAATATCTGTGATGTATCAAACAAAATACTATCTCTAATTTTTTTTTAGAAGGAAGATTTAAACTAGATATAATAAAGTTAAAAAGATCCAGAGTTTCTTTATTTTCAACAAAAGAAAATGGAAGACCATTTGATACAGTCATCCTAAAAAAGAGACATTCAAATTTAGGAATATTATTATTAGACATTGGACGGCAAAAATAATTTGTAAGCTGAGGTTATTGGCTATTAAAAGAGTTCAAAGAAGTGGTAATTGAAGTGGATTCTTTTTGATGTTTGTTAAAAGGTAAATGTAAATATGTATTGTCATCAACTTCATCTTCGCTTGAATCACTATTTACATCTACATCTAAAATAAAAAAAAAGATAAGTTACTAGTTCTATTATAATTATTTACTTTTTATCTATTTAATTACCATAATTAATATTTTTTTTAAAATCTTCAGTACTGGTCAAGCTAAAATACTAGATACTTCTTCTTTAGAATATGCATTTTTGAAATTATTACAATTTGCCAAATGTTTGTGACATAATTTAGCTTTGTTTGTTGTATAATAAGAATGTATTAACTGAGCAGCCTGCAAATCTCTATTTTTATTGCTACAACAAATGCAAACAGCTTTTGCATTTGTTGCATTAGTATCACTTTTTATTAAAATAAAGAATTTACAAAAGTTATGAGTAATCTTTCTCTTTATTGATATTTCTATCTTATCTTTTTTATTGTCATTTTCAAGATGAAAGATAAAAAAAAAACTAATTTATTTTAAGTTAGTTAAATTGATAAATCAATGTACTCTCATTGGCTAATAAATGATATGTAATCTATGATTAGGGTCATTTTACTATAACCGATAATCATAAAGGTCATATAATACGATCATAAAATTTATAACCAAAAGATCATATTATTAGCAGTCATTTGAACTAATGATCAAGGTTATTAATTTGTAAGCAAATGACCTGGTTATTGCCCATCGCTGGTATTGCCAATACTTTTATAAGTAAATTTTATCTCACATGATCAGTAACATATAAGGGGTTTGAAAAAAATATTTTCACTACTAACAAATTACATAAAAAAAATATATAATAAATTATTTATTACATAATAATTTCTAAAAATTATAAGTACTTAACTTAAACCCATTTAATATTTAATTCAACCAGTTAATTAAGATAACTTTTATTTAATCTTCTATTAGAATAATCCATTCTTATTTTAGAAAGTAAAATATCATTAGTTCTTTTATCTAATTTTATGCAGTACTTACAAACTCAACAAAATTACAATATTATAATCTTATCTACAACTAAATATCATTCAAAGATACAGTTTAAATATTAAAACTTTTAAAAAATATGAAAAAAGGTGATTCAGAAAATGGATTTTATAAAAGAGATAGTGAATTGTTAGGTATTATTTCTTACCTTTTTTTTATTTTAAGTTAATCATAATATTATTTCTAGAAATTCCTTAAAATGTAAATGTTATCACTAGGTTCATTTTTATTTATCTTAATATATAAGTTAAAAGACTATGACAGTTGATTTTATACGTTAGAGTTTCTGACCTTAGGATTTTCTCTAAATCCTATCCCTTCAAGCGTTTTGCAGGCAAATTTGCCTGCAATTTTATTTAATAATTAAAATTATTTATAATAATTTTA